TTTCCTCCTATCATGAATAAAACTTCCCTGAGGATTTTTGCTATTTTCCTTTTCCTCCTATTCTAAACGAACTTCGAAAAAGGGAAAATCTACTTCGGGAAAAAAGTAGGTATCACGAATGTCAAAAAAGGAGAAAATTGGCTTGGGTATTTCGGGAGAAGTTCCGCCAAAGATTTAAAAGGGAGCTTGTATAAAAAATGTAAGTAATTCTCCTTTAAATTTAAAATTGCTTGATTTAAATGATTTGTTTGATATTTTTCAGGTCGAAAACAACGAATAAAAGACAGCAAACCATTTTAATAAACCTAATGGAAGCAAGCCCCGATATTGCGCGCGGGTTCCACAGAGGCAACAAAGAGGAGGTTGCCCGTTTCTGGCGGAACGCAGAAATGGAGTTAAACTCTGTAGGCCCACCGATAAAAAACATTACTGAGTGGAAAAAGGTTTGACAAAGCGATAAAAACAAGGATTTGTGTCTTACATTGTATTAAACATTTTTAGGTTTGGACAGACCAAAAAAAGTATGTGCGTCACAAGGCTGCCGAAAATTTTAAACACTCGAGAGGCACTGGAGGTGGTCCGAATGTGCAAAAACCATTTTCCCCCATCGAAGAGGCAATATATAACCTCATTGGCATGAAAGAGTCCGTTGAGGGAGTGCCGGCGAAAACTTTTGGATTGGCGAGTTCTGATGTGGCTCAAGTAAATGAGGTGCCAGAGGGGGTTGAATTATGTTCCGAGGACTTGGAGGTAATTTGGGCTGAGAAATACCCAGCAACAGTAGAAGAAAGTCCGCCAGTGCTCACTGGTTTTGATTATGTATTACCAGCAGCTCCAAAAAGAGCTAGTAATCCGACTGTAAAGGCGGTGGCGAAAAATGCTACAGAAGTCGTTGAAGCAGAACGGGCAATTCAACGAGACATGTTGGAAAAGGTAACAAATATAGTTACTCTCATGACAGAGCGCAATGAGGCAGATAAAAAGCATTTCGAGGCGATGAAAGCTCTAAAGAGAGAGGAAATCGATGAAATGCATCGACATAATGATCTCTTAGAAGAGTTATTAAGGCTAAATATTTAAGTCAAATGTTTAAAGAATGTATTTAGAAATGTACTTAAATATTTTTTTTTTTGTAATAAGTCATAAAAGATTTTGAACACAGAGTATGTATACTCATGTAGATTTTTATACCAATTCTGCCAGATTTCAAAATTTCCTCACATATCCAAGTTTTGGTGACGCAACTTCCATTAAAATACGGATTTTTCTGACCCAATTTGAGCGAGTTGTGTCACCAGCACTTGAGTATGTGGAGAAATTTTCAACCCTGGCAGAATTGGTGTAAAAATCTACAGTGTCCAAAATCTATTATGACTTATTACAAGAAAAATAATATTTAAGTACATTTCTAAATACATGTTTTGTTATAATATCGGTATATATCGTCGCTGCGCCAAAAAAAAAACAGTTATGTGCTTTTTTGGAGAGCAAAAACAGGGCTCGAATCGTAAC